AAAAAAAGGAGGGAGATCTAAAGGTCTACTTTAATAATAGAGGCTACTATTATTAGCCACTAAATCTGCCTTCTCTTATCAGTAATACAAGGAAGTAAAGAGATTAAGGTAATTCTTTCAATAGATTTTAAGAATGAGAAAGCTGGAATTAGATTTCAAATTGCCTATACAAGGTGGCCAAAAAGTCTAGAGACAGGGATAAACTTATTTTTAAATAATGTTAGCTACATTCTCCTGACTTCTAGTCACCTTTCCACCTGAAGTACCTCAATATTAAAAATAATGGGTCAAGCTGTTAATCTGATAAAAGTACAGTAAACCAAAACCCAACTCACTGCCATCAAAATCATTTCTGACTCATAGCAACCCCCAGTGGGTTTCCAAGGCTGTAAATATTTTACGGAAGCAGACTGCCTCATCTTTCTTCTGTGGAGTGGCTGGTGGGTTCAAACCACTAACCTTTTGATTAGCAGCCAAATGTCTTAACTAGTACACCACCAGAGCTCCTTCATAGTACAATACATGGACTATTTTCCCTATATTTCCAGACTTTTCAGAACACTGAAGAAACCAGAAGCTAAACTTGGAGATTTATTGAGCAAGTGTAAAATATTGACTAGCCATGGGAGAGGACAGGGATTAAAGGTCCTTGTTCTCAAAGAACTCAAAGGGAAATTATATACATAGAAAATCAGAATAAGCAGAAAGGGAGGTATACTATAAGGCACTAACTGACCCCTCAATGATAACTGGCCAGGCCTCCTACTGTCTACATTCTCACCTGCAGCCAGGTGCAACTGAGTCACACCCACTCATTTCCCAAGGTGGTGAATTATGAGAAAGACTAGGAAGCCAAATTAGCTATTTCAAATTTCACTTCCTTGCCTTGCAGTCTGTACAGCCAATACTGACCATTTCACCCAAACTATGTACCCTTCCCCAGATGTTTCAAGGAGAGGAAATAATAAGAGCAAATGCAGAAAAGTGAGAAAAGAAGGAATTAACAATCCTTTGGCAGGAGCACCAATCCATTCTCCTCAGATTAACTTACAAACATAAATTGTATTATGTCACTTCCTTTTTGAAACCAATCCAAGGGCCCTGGGGGGTGGGAAAGCAAAGGCAAACTCCTTAAAAGAATCTAGAAGGTGCACACTCAGTTCATTGGCCACTGGCCGGGCCTGATGGCACCTATATATATCTCTCCAGACCTTCCTCACAACTCTCCTCACTCACAGAGCATCCATCAGACCTGTTCCTCCAGCAAAACAAGCTGTCTCCTAACTCAAGGCCTCTACTCCCTCTGCCTGACACTGCTCTTGTCTAGTCCCTTAGGTCTTAATTAAAATAGTATCTCAGATAAACATATAAAGAAGTTTTGTCCTGTTATTCTCTGCCACAGCTACCTGTTTATTTCCCTATCATGCCTTGTTATTATTTTATATATTTATTGCCCTGCATATACCCTAATAACCTATTCATTCAAAGAGGAAAGCATGCCTCTGTAGTATCTAAAATACCTAATACAGTGCCTGGCACATGGCTTGCATTTGATTTTTGCTGAATAGATGAATCTGTGTTTTCAAAAAGCAACTCTGGCCTAGGGAACACAGATAGAATTACTAAAAGCAAAGAGACCAGTTCAGATGAAGGTGATTGTAAGCCACACTTTCAGCAATACTGATTTAGGTACTATTAGTATTCGGAAACCCAAGGAGGGGTCGCTATGAGTCAGGTCTGACTCTATGACACATAACAGCAACAACATCACCATTCATAAGGACATTCTTTCTTTTGGACAATTATATAACCACACTGTTTAAGCAATGAACAGATTGAATTAAACTAAGAACATGGATTACCTAAAGATTATCTAACTGAAGGTCTGTATGATTTATACTGGGCATACAACCCCATTTCTCCTTAAATCTCTTCCATAAAGCAGAAGCCACTAATCTCAGGTCAGCAAGCCATTTTCCCATCCCTCTCACCCCATCTTCAAGGGCAAAAAGCATAGATTATTACTGCCACTCTACACCAGTGGTTCTCAACAGTAACTGCATGTTCCAATCTTTAAATTATAAAAGGCTGAGGAGCTTTTAAAAATTCCAAAGCAGGCTGGCCACATCCCAAACCAATTACATCAGAATCTCTAGGGGTGGGACTCAGACATCAGTATTTTTTAAAGTTCCCCAGGGTATTCCAATCGACCAACAAGGCTGAGAAATGTTTTAAAGAAAAGTTCAAGTACCAACAGAGACAAACCTTCATTTAATTCCTTTATGATCATTTGTTGTTATTGTCAGTTGCCACCGAATCAATTCTGACTTATGGCAACCCCATGTGTTACAGAGTAGAACTGTTCCATAGTTTTCTTGGCTATGATCTTAAGGGAGGGAGATTGCCAAGCCTTTTCTTCCGTGGTTCAAACCATCAACCTTTAGGTTAAGCAGTCAAGCACAAACCATTTGCACCAGCCAGGAACCCTTCTTTATGTTGTTGTATGTGCCATCAAGTTGATTCCAACTTATGTTCATAGAATCCAATGGACCAGCATTTATTTTAAAGATTAAAGAGTTGGATCTAACAAAAGGAAGCATTCTACAAATAAACACCAATCAAGAGATACTCAATACATATTATTTTCTGCAATTTTCTCTCTGTTAAGGTATACTACAAATGGCACTTTACCTCAGAATATTAAAATAAAAAAGAGGCAGTGTATATATACTTACATAATTACATGCTATCCAAAGTCCTTTACTTGGTGGACAGAATAATTCTAATATATGTAAAACACACCTACCTACTGCATTCAGAAATATGACCATGTCACAGAATTTCTAGCAACAGGAACATTTAGCTTCTTATAGGCAAAAGGAGAGAGCTCTGGTGATGCAATGGTTAAGTGTCTGGATGTTAACTAAAGGCTGAAGGTTCAAAGCCATCAGCCACTCTGTGGGAGAAAAGACCTGGCAATCTGTTCCCATAAAGACTACAGACTTGGAATCCCTATGGAGCAGTTCTACTCTGTCCTATAGGGTCTCTATGAATCAGAGTTGACTCCACAGCACACAACAAAAAATAAAAAGACCCAGTATTTTTAACTGATTGTGTGGAAAATGAATGAAAGAGTGACTACAAACAATAAAACTGAAACTGACTGGCTTGAAATTATTCTAAAATATGACTAAAAATGGCCACTGCTAAAATTAATCCACTTCAAGTCAAGGAGAGGCATATCCTACTTCTGTTCACATCATTTACTTCCATACATACGTGAATCTACATATCCCACCTAGAAACGCTTCATGCCCACACAGATAACTTAATCACACCAAAAAGTTATGTGTCTCATAACATTTTATACAAAATGGCAATTTTTCCACCAATGTGAAAAGTTTTTAATACTATTCAGGATTTTTAAAAACCCATATTTCTTGCTAGCTCTGTATAATTCAAGCAACTAGGCAGTTACTGAACTATCACTGAAGATCTGCTACAAATGTAATCAAGAACATCTAAAGCACAAATCTGTAAAATGCTTCAAAATATTTTTTTTTTAAAAACTCCTCCCGCAAGTAAAATACACACAAAAAAAGAAAAATAAAGAAATGTACTACTTATTTTTTTCTATTATCATAGATACAGAGATGTGCAAGCTATTCTGAATCAGGACTGCCTGCACACTTTATCTATCTCTCTGCCATGTATCAATAGATTATATTTCATGGAAAGCTGTTATTATGCCAAACCATTTTTCCTGGCCTGCCCTGGGATCTTTTGCTATGCACATAAAACCTGGATGGTGCTTTAGCAGGTAGTGCTGAATATGGTAAAAGTTCCTCCCAGCTTGAAGACTGAACATCTCCAATTTCAGAAGCAAGCACTGTCCTGTATGTGGTTAGAATTTCTGAAGTTGGCACTACATGTCTGTACCAGAGTAATAGAGTAAATATTTACATAATTACAATTTGTTCAAATCAGAACTTAACTCTTTTAAAACATGTTTCCTCCCTTCCAGTCTTATGTTAGATTTCATCCTAACCTGCCCAATGATTGTCACAATGTGTTACAATGTGTCTTTAGCCTCCCACATGAACAGTTTTCTTCCTTTATTTTTATCCCGATGGCTGAGGAAAGAAGGTTGGGCAATCCTACTTTCCTAGTGATACTGCCTCGGAAACCCAAGGAGGGGTCGCTATGAGTCGGGGCCGACTCGACGGCAAATAACAACAACAACAACATTGGCTCCCTTGGGAAAGAGCTGTAATGTAAAATAAAATCTGTGGGATGGGATAATTCCTATTTGGATGAATGGAAAAATGAAATCGTAGAATATTTTCAAAATAAACACACTGTAGAGTAAAACAACCTCAACTAGTAACTAGTTTAGATTCTAATCTTATAAAATTAATTTTTAATTGTTTGATTATATAAAGAAGTTACTTACACAACCAAGGAGCTATGTCAGTGATATAATTTATGTTTGCTTTTGTAATAGGGTAAACATCACTCAAGGGTGTCTGTAGTAACTGGAAAGCTCTTTTCAAAACCAAGATGATAAAAACATTTCCCCAGTGTCCGAATTAACATGAATTCTGAATTAAAAAGTCCTGATAGAATTTTACTGTTTCTGTACACAAGCATATAGTTAAAAATCCATTAAAAATAATTATTAGGGAGAATGAATCAGCACTCAGTACTTGTTGAGATATCCCCATCTGTAAAGGCAGGAAGAGTGAGTTGTATCACTCTGTTTGAATACCCATTAGAAGGTACACACCCACAGTATATAACCTGATGAAAAATACAGCTAGGCATCAGGAGATCTTAGATCACGTTAAGGCTCAAATGTGTAACCTTAAACAGTCAGTACTGCTCTCTGCTTTTTCACTTCTCTCCCTGGGAAGTGGGTACATAAACTCTACCACAGCAGCCCTGGCTAGCAGAAGGGGAGTGAAAGGGAGGAAGGGTTGATTCCATAATGAGCCACTTACGAGATGTAGGCTGGGTAGCCAAATCCTATCAGGTTGCAGAGGAGAGAGGCTCCATAACCGAACACCAGGTACAGGGCCACCAGCCCGATGACACCTGGAGGAGACACAAGGAGGCAAGTGGGAGGAATAGCAGAGAGGCACTACCCCGGGCAGCCCCCGCCCACACCGGGAGGCTTGGCCAGTTCTAGGCGTTTTCCTCCTAACTTGATTAAAGGAACGAGAAAAACAAACCACACAAAGGGTGGGCCTGAACCTCCACTGTGTGTCGTGTTGGGTCTGAAAATATCGGGCAACCCACACCTTTGTGCCCTTCTTGCCGTCCTCCTTCCCCCCTCAAGGACTAGGGCCGCTGTCGCGCACCAGCCGAGGACGAGGGGCGCCGAGGAGGGTCCGGGAAGGCCGGGACACCCAGCCCGCCGAGCCTGCCCTCTCAGCGCACGGGCCCGGGACGCCTGGCTCGGAAGAGGGTCTACAGAGGCCGGGAGTCCCGCGCCTGCCTGCACTCGCGCCCCGGGATGCAAAGACACTGCCTTCTCGGTGCGGGGCTCTAAGGAGGGTGGGAGGAATGCACAGCACCCCCATCGCTCCGCGCCAAACCTGCCGACCGCCACTGGGACACGACGTCCGACCGCAGTGGCAGACACGTCAGCGCCCAGGTCCTGCTCCCCCACCCCCAACCCGGGCCCGCCGCCGCCGCCCTCCCCGCCCGCCACCTGGCCGGCGGGCACCGGCCAGCGATAGCCCAGGAGGGGTCTCCGAACCCGGCTTTCGGGCAGTCAATATGGTCCCCAAAGATGCACGTCTGCTCTCTCCCGTCTGTCACCAACATTGCCTTTCCCGAACCCTCTTGCCGCTTTCCCCCCCAGCAGCAGCAGCAGCAACAGCTGCGACCGGTGCGGCTGCAGCGACCCTCAGCGGGCCACGCCTCGCACCCACCAAGCGCGATGAAGCTCCGGTTCACGCCGGTCTTGGCCTCGAGCTTGGCCAGAAGGTCAGTCATGTAGTTCTTTTCGTGCAGGAACCGGTCGAACCTCTGCCTCATGGCCGCAGACATGGCGGGGACCGTCGCACCGCCGCCTGAGGCTGCTCCTAGTACTGAGCGGACGCAGAGCAGGGCTGACTAGGGCGGAGGCAGACGCGGCGGCGGCGGGGCGGGCTGGGCGCAGGGCTGACGGAGACCGCCCAGCGTCCGGCGCTCTGCCCACTCTTGGCTGGCGGCCCCCTTCTTCCCCGCCCCCAGCGCCGCGGAGAACGCTGCACCTGAACAGCTGCTTGACAGTCCCACGGCCCCTTGGGTCTGATAAGCCTTAATCCATTGCATGTACAAAGGTGATGATGATGGTGAGGGAAGACGTATATTTTTTGACTCTTGAAAGTTCCTCTTCTCAAATCCAACTAAAGCAAAAAGCAGGTGGAAGGGAGCAGGCAGGCGTCCTGGTTGCTTCCATTTGCAATGTAGTGGGATTGGTTTGATGTCCCTACACTGTGACAATCAGTATTTAATTCTGGAATCTAGATTTCTAGGATCCACAGAGTTGGGGTGACCTCCCCAGGCTATTTGACCTTAGATGTCCTTTTGAACATTTTCCCAAGGAGCCCCGGGGTAGATTCGAATTGCCAAACTTTAGCAGCCCATTGCAATTGTCTGCACTTGCCTTCAAACCAAATTATCCTAAAGAAGAAAGCTTTAAAGGTTCAAGACTTAGGGCAGGACCTAACTTTGTCTTCTTCATATCATGTCCATGCTGTTCCTTTAGATTCCCTCTGGCACCCCTCAATCTAGGCTCCTGTTGCCTCTCACCTACATTATTCAGGAGACTCGTTTTAAATTATTCTTTCTGACTCTTGTTATCTATTTTGCACACTGCTGCAGAATATTCCTCCTCATTGCTTAAACTTCAAAGCTCCTCATTACCTAAAGTCTAGAACTTTGAATCTTTAGAATTACATTCACAGTCCTGTGCACAAACAGGCCCCCAGCGTTCTCCCCTTTTCCCACACAACCCATCGGCTCTTTCATTTACCTTACTGTCTTCCACTTCCGTACTAAAAACAAAAAACCACATTCACTGCCACTTTCCACTTATGCAAAGTTCTCTTGCCCACTTCCAGCTTTTTCCTTGGATAGTAACTGTTCTTCCTCTTTTTTACCCCAGAGCTCAACTTTCCCAGTCCCCCACTACTACCCAGCCAAATCAGTAAACAAATTAGACCAGATTAAAATAATAATAATAACAATAATGGAATCATTGTGATAACCTCCCAACTGGTCCATTCATTTCTGTCTTTCCACCTATAATCAATTCTCAATGTAATAGCCAGAGGAATCTTTTTAAAATGTGAGTTGTTAATATTATCGTTTTGCTCTGAACCCTCCAGTAGCTTCTCATTTGCTGAGGAATAAGAGCTGGTTCCTTATAGTGGTGTAGAAATGGTATGGTGAAGGCATTCTGACTTCATCTAATTTCAGGAGAGAAAGAGAAAGGAGCATGGTCTGCATCAACATGTTAAGGCTGATTCCTATGAGGTGAAGCTTGGACATGCCTCCACACTCCAACCATTTTATCAATTCTGCCACCAAGTGTCCCTCCCATGGCACTCCTTACTTCTCTATTGGGTTGGATAATTCATTGCAATGGTCACACAGAAATCAAACTATATGCACAGTTTTGGAGTTTATTAGGAGCTCTCGTGGCATAATGCCTAAGGCATTTGACTGCTAACCAGAAGGCTGGTGGTTCAAACCCACCAGCGACTCCTCAGAAGAGAGATTGAGCAAACTACTTCTGTAGTGATACCACCTCGGAAAACCAAGGAGGGGTCACTATGAGTTGGACCCAACTACGGCAATGAGTTTGTTTTTTGGGTGTTTTTTGTTTTTTTGTTTTTTGGTTTTTTTTAATGGGGTTTATTAAGGAAATAACAAGTTACAACTCAGGATCAGAAAAGATTCAAGATACAGTTTTTCCATCAGGATAGCCTCTTCTCAACCATGCCCACAGGCAGGTCTCTTTCTGGCCATTGGTCCCTTGGCCTGGCTTCTGCCCTGCTTGGGCAAGTGTTACAAAGCTCTTTTAGCTCAGAGGCACCTCACTCTGTAAGTAAGCCTCCTACCCAAGGCCTTCAGCTTTCTCTCTCTGGGGGCTGGGAAGCCCGTTGCACCATCTTCTGTCAGTCTCTTGCTGGTCTCCTTGTTGATCTGCCATCATTTCTGTGCCGCTGCTTCTTGCTGTCTCTTGCTCTCTCAGGTGTTACGGCTCTCGCTCTCGCTCTCGCCTCAGTTGAGGAGATTCCCAGCGCAGGGATCCTGGGCCCAAAGGGTGCACTCCACACCTGGTTCTTCTTCCTAGGTGGTCATGAGGTCTCTCTTTGTGCCTGTGCGATGGCTAATTTTAAGCCTAGTGGGATGACAAAACTGACCAATCCCTTCATCAGGGTTCCATAGAACTGATTTGCATGGTCCCACCCAATCATTGTGCAGGAATCACAAAGATTATGGCAAGAAGGGCCATATTAAACAATTCACTAAAGCACGAGAGGCCTACAATGTCTTAAGTGATGTGAGTTATCCCTCCCCCTCCTGACTTCATCTACTGCCTGCCTTCAAACTGTGCATCAAACAGGTTAAGCCCACTCCTGCCTCTAGGCTTTCACTTTTGTTCAATTTCAGTGTTTCTCAAGGGGAGGGAACCAGGGACATTGGCAATGTCTGGAGACATTTTTGGATGTAACTGGGACAGGAGGTGCTATTATCATCTAGTAAGAGATCTGCTAAATATTGACAATGAACAGAATAGCCCCCTCCCAAAAAAAGAATTAATGTGCCCCAAATGTCAATAGCACTGAGGTTGAAAAACCCTGCTAAATCTAAAAATCTCTTTCTCCAGATAACTACTTAACTGTGTCCTCATATTACTCAGTTCTTTGCTTTAATGGTACCTCTGTAAGGTCCTCCCTAGTCCTAACTTCCAACTCTTCAACACTCTCTAGCCCTATCCTACTTTATTTATCTCAATAAAAGTTATTATTGTCTGACATCATATATGTTGTATTTTCTTTATTGCTTTTATTTCCCCTACTAGATTATGAGCTATAGGAAGGCAGGTATTTTTGCCTATTTTGTTCACTTCTGTACCCCAAGAATTTAGAATATTTCCCAGGACATAGATGTTCAGAAACTATTTGTTAAATGAATGACTGCATAACATGTCTTTTGACAGAATTTATGGTTTTGAATTATGATGTTGATGAAGAATATTGAATATACCATGACTGCTAGAAGGACAAATAAATCTGTCTTGCAAGAAGTACAGCCAGAATGCTCCTTAGAAGTGAGGATGGTGAGACTTCATCTAACATACTTTAGACATGTTATCAGGAAGGAACCGTCCCTGGAGAAGGACATCATGCTTGGTAAAGTACAGGGTCAGCAAAAAAGAAGGAAACCCTCAACAAGATGAATTGATACAGTAGCTGCAATCAGGGGTTCAACTTGGCAATGATTGGGAGGATGGCACAGGACTGGGTAGCAAGTCATTCTGTAGTAGATAGGGTTGTTATGAGTTAGAACTAACTTGACAGCACCTAACAACATGTGCACTAATTTCATCCTCAGAATAGAATGAGGAAGAAACTACCAGTATTATCTTTATTTTAAGGAAGGAAATAAGGTGCAATGAGGTCTCATGATTAATAAATGACAAAGCTAGAATTCAGACCCAGGATTTTACCCTTATATTAGACTGTTCAGCAGAAAAACTGAATTTTGAACTTTTAACAAGTTGTGAATTTGTATAATTTCTAAGTCAGTTAAGTACTTGGAATTATTCACCTTGGAAGTTGGAGTCATATTTTTGAGTAGTTAAAATAATTCACAATTGATAGCTTTAATTTTTTTTAAGCCAAGGAGAAAAATCCTTTTATGTTAGTTATTCAAATCAACCTAGATTTTTATCACTACATTTTATATGGTGCCAACATTTAGACTACACCAACTATGCATGAAGTATCTAGAAATATTCTATCTGTTTGGATTTATTTTATATAAATATTGTTCCCTTTCCAGTTTTCTCTTGTCTTACACCCAATTTTTCTTCCTCCACTGTTCAATATTCCTAACACTGTTAAGACAAGGAGAAGCAACGAAACAAGGAACAGTGGTTAGGAGCACTGTCTGGATCCAGACTGCCTGGGTTAAATTCCAGCTCCACCTTCTAGTTGTGTGACTTTGGCCAAGTTACAGAAACTCCTAGGCCTCTGTTCCCTCATCTGTGAAATAGGGAAAACAATAGCAGCTATTCCACAGGGTTATCATGATGATTAAATAAGTTATTATTTGCAAAGTTTTTTGAAGAGTACCTGACAGAAAATGATGTTGTTGTTGTTGATCCAGACTCAAGCGACACCATGTACAATAGAATGAAACACTGCCCTGTCTTGCCCTTCTTCACAGTCCTTGCTATGCTTGAGGCCATCATTGTAGCCACTGTGTCAATCTATCTTGTTGAAGGCCTTCCCCTTTTCCTCTGACCCTCCACTTTACCAAGCATGATATCCTTCTCCAGGGAATGGTCCCTTCTGACCATGAGACCAAAGTAGGCAAGTCTGGCAATTCTCACTTGCAAGGAGCATTCTAGCTGCACTTCTTCCAGAATAGCTTTGTTCATGCTTCTGGCAGTCCGTAGTATTTTCAGTATTCTTCACCAACATCACAATTCAAAAGCATCAACTCTTCTTCAGTCTTCCTTATTCATTTTCCAGCTTCCACATGCATCTGAGGTGATTGAAAATACCATGGCTTTGTTGGATTAGGTGCATCTTAGTCTTCAAAGTAACATCTTTGCTCTTCCATCCTTTAGAAAAATCTTTTGCAGCAGATTTGCCTAGAGCAATACAGCATCTGGTTTCCTGACTGCTGCTTCCATAGGTGTTAATTATGGGTCCAAGTAGTATGAAATCTTTGACAACTTCAATCTTTTCTCCATTAATCATGATGTTGCTTACTGGTCCAGTTGTGAGGATTTTTGTTTTATGTTGAAGTGAAAACCATGCTTTGATCTTCATCAGCAAGTGTTTCAAGCCCTCTTCA